TCATAAGATACAAGGTTAATATACAAAAGTCAATTGCTTTCCTATATACCAGCAATGAACCATAAGAATTTAAAATTAAAAACACAATACCATTTACATTATCACTAAAAGAAAAAGAAGTACTTAGGTATAAATCTAACAAAATATTTGCAAGATCTGTATGCAAAAAAACCTACATAACTCTTGAAAGAAATCAAAGATCTAAATAAATGGAGAGATATTCTGTGTTCATGAACTGGAAGAAGATTCAATATTATTAAGATGTCAATTCTTCTCAACTTGATCAATGTGATCCCAATCCCAGCAAGCTATTTTGTAGATATCAACAAAATGATTTTAAATATGATACAAGAAGATATTCTTCTTTATTAATGACATGAGTTAGTTCCTAAGCAGGCTTTAATCGAGAAGTTATTGCAAAAAAAATGGAAAAGGTTTCACACTATTATTTCAACTACAATCTTTTCTCAAATTTATCTCTCCAAAACTATATTTTAAGCTTGCATCTGTTCATTTATACATGCCAGACTATATTAATCAAAAGTAGCAACTACATCTTACTGATTTTTGCAGAGCCTGTGCCTAGCAGAGTACTTGACATTTTGTAGATACCTAACAGATTTTTCCTAACCAGATATTTGGTTGAATTTTATTTTATAACGCCAGGACTAGAACATAGTACTATTAAGTATAAGAGGTAAAAAAACAATTTTTATTTGATTTTTTAATTAAAATGTTTTAACACATGAAACAAACCTTTAAATTAAGAAATGGTAAAGATTACAAGCACTGTGTAGCTTCTAAAAGTATCCCAGGGTTGGGTTACTTTTTTTGTACAAAGAGATCACCATGTACTACATTCCTGTCACTGATTTCAACAATTCATATAAATGTCCATTATATGGGCATTTAATGATCAGTTCCTTTTCTTATATTGCCAGTGAATATGTGGGTGGGCAAAAGAAGGTTTACAGTTGTAAGTACGTGAAATGCAGTTTATTCTTGTATTCTTATTTATTAATTATTGTATTATATTCCTACTTTTGCCAACCCCTGTATATATTTCAGGCCTGTACAGAAAAATGATTCACACTCATGTCTGCTCCTAAAGTTTTGGCAAAATGTCACATTAAAAAGCTAGTATAAATCTTTTAAGCACAGACATTATCAGAGACTAATGAAATTACTCATCTTAAGGAGGGGTAGAAAGAATGATCTCTTCTTTGAACTAATTACATTTTTATAATTACCAGAAAAGGGAACTTTAAAGTCCCCTAAAGTACCCTAGCCAACTCATCCTCTAGATTGGGTGGCAGGTAGGGATATAGTCGTTTAGGAACTGAGAACTGAGTCCCTGTAAGAAGGATGAATGAGGTCAAGTCTTTTGTGCAGACAATGCAGGCAGAACTAGTATTGCTAGTTCTAATATGACCATTCCCTTATCCAACTTACTAAAAAACAAACAACAACAAGACAAATCTAGATTAGGATGATGAGGATCAAGGCAACCAGGAAGCCTGCAAAAACCCCAAAATTCTTCTAGCTCCCTAAAGAAGTCACTCTCCTGGAAATTGACACACAAGCCATTATTTCTTTGATTGGTAACAAGACAACAGACACATAGGTCATTTTTCCTATATCAGCACACTAGCAGAATAGGAAATGCAAAATATTGTAATACAAAGAAGTACAGTTTTGCTGAGACTTTTGTAGTGTTCCAGAGACTATTCTACCATTAATTGGATCAGCACCAAAGACCAGGTAAAGAGAGCAAACCACACACAAATACGGTTCATATTATATAAGTATTTCTGACTCCTCGCAATCTTTGTTTTCTGACAATCTTTATGAAAAACCCTAAGCCTCTCTTTAACTTTCCTCAAATACTAAACATTTTGCACACAAAAGCAAGAAATCACATTTTATTTTTATTTAAATAAAAATGAAAATAATGACAAATAAATTACATAATTAATCTCATATATTCAGTTTCTCATTGTTGACTCTCTCTAAGCTTTGTCTTAAAAACTCAATTCAGCCCTGGCTGGTATGGCCTGAACCAATCCAGCCTTGGTTCACAGTCCAGATTGAACACTGGCCTGCAAACCAAGGGATCGCAGGTTTGATTCCCAGTAAGGGCACCTGCCTGGGTTGCAGGCCAGGTCCCTAGTAGGGGGCCTGTGAGAGGCAATCACACATTGATGTTTCTCTACCTCTCGCTCTCCCTCCCTTCCCCTCCCTAAAAATAAATAAATAAAATCTTTTTTAAAAACAGTAACAAATATACAACATGCTAGACATTATTTAATTATATATACACCCAGAGCCAATCTTCTCAAAAAGAGAACAAATTTATGCATGCTATCACACATACCTATGCATAAGTGATCATACATTTTTATAAGCATTTCCTTAATTTTTAAAAGGTATGAAAAATACATGGGCATGATTATTTTATACATAATGGTACAATAGAAAGGATTATATCAATTTTAACTATAACATTAAATTTCACGGTAATTCATTTGTTTGATCCTGAAGGATAAATCTTACAAAAAGCATCAAATTATCTATTTTTGGGTAATGGGGTAAAGATCTCAAGGTCTGCTGACTGAAAAAAGAATATACTATAATGAATCTAACGACTAAACAGCTGCAGATTCTAAAAAGTGTTTTTATTACCCTGAGTTAGGCACTAATTTATGCTTTAAATTTTCCATCCAGCGATATCTTTTTAGATGCATTAAAGGAAAAAAAAGAACAATACTTAGAGAGCTGGCCTGTGAGTCCCTCATTTAGTGAAGGGCTGTAAAAAGAGATGTTTTCAGATGCAATCTCATTTTTAAAGTATCTCTTCAGACAAACCATAAGCCATACAAGGTTAAGAAAACTATGGTTTACTCATGTTTGAAACTCAAAAGTGTCCGACACATAGCCACTAAGAATCAAAGTTCACACAGTTGGTTTCCCAAGAGCAGAAATGCCTGTTCTCATCCACTTTCACTCTGGGCCCATCTTGCTGGCACTAACAGTGTGCAGTGCAAACCACTCACTACAGGTAACAAGCATACTTTAACAAGCAAGTAAACAGATATATGGAAAGAGAAGAGCAACATATTCAACTGATAATTTTTTTAACATGAAAGACAGCAGGAGAGCTTACTTACATAAGGTCAAAAAAAGCATGGGGGAAGGGTCACAGGAAGAAGTGTCACAAAAACTGAGAGAAAACTTTGTAGGAAGACTTGCATTATATATCAGAAATCCTTGAGTTTTAAAACTCAAGGGTTAAGATTAAGAACTGAAGTTTCCATTTGCTATGGAGGTACTATGTTCAGAAGAGTCAAATTTAACTTGGAAACCAATAACCTATTTCCCCTTTGTAGTATCTACCCAGGAATTTTATTTTTTTTAAGCTTCAGAAATTTATTGTAAGTCAAAGCAACTCATTAAAACCATTGAATTTCATTAGAGACCTTCCCATTTGCTTAATTTCAAACTCCCATAATATTTCTCTATACATTCAAGATGCTAAATTTACTTTTATTATATTTATTATTCTAAGTTATTAATCATCCTAAATCAAGAACCAATAGTATTCAAACGATTTTTTGAGGATTTACTGGCAGAGATCTTCAGACAATTATTACCAACAAAAAGTTATTTGAACCAATTTCGAGAATAGAAAATTCACTAAATTAAAAAGATTTGTGAGCTAAAACCCAAATATGTATCAACTGTCATGAAACCTTAAATACAAAATGTAAGTAATATTTTGTATAATAGGAAAGAAAAAGCAAACATAAAAATCACATCATCGCCCTGGCTGCTGTGGCTCAGTGGATTGAGTGCTGGCCTGCAAACCAAATGGTCACAGGTTCAATTCCCAGTTGGGGCACATGCCTGGTTTGCAGGCCAGGTCCCCGGTTGGGGACACACAGCGTATGAGAAGCAACCACACACTGATGTTTCTCTTGCTCTTTTTCTCCCACCCTTCCACTCTCTCTAAAAATAAATAAAAATTTTTTAAAAATCACATCATCTTTATTTATGCATATGTACACATACATACATTTTATGATAGATTTGTGAGTTTAAATGGCTTGGGCTAAATTGCTAAGCTCATTTCACATATAAATTACTTATAGCGTTACAAAATACCACACACAAAAAAACCTTTCTATTTTGGTCTTAACAAGTTATACACAAAATAGCATGAAGCCAGATTATTAATACTCAGACTAGGTATACCATAATAGAAAAATATGTTATTGCTTCAACACTTACCATATTATTTTTTAAATTGAGGAATAATTCACATACAATATTATATTAATTTCAAGTATACAATGTAATGATTCGATACTAGAACACTTACCATCTAAAAGTTAGTCTGTGAGTAAAACATGCTTACCACTGAGGAACAGCTATGGAAACTTGAAAAACTTACCTGAATAAACGGAGATTATTTTCATAGTCAAACAATTTATATAACATGATTCATTTCAAGGCTGTTCAAGAATTGTCAACTATAGCCAGTAATCATAATCATACACTATTAACCCCATCCCTATTTCATAATCAAATACCTATCCACGATTCACTTCGAAATCTGGATTCAGATACATCAAGCATTATAAGTTATTGGGTATATATGAAAAATACTGACTGAATGAAATTATTCATTGCTTCTAAGTACCTGAACATAAATTCATCACTACCTTGGTTTCTTCTCTACCACTTTTTCTTTTCCCAATGGGCAACTTTTCACCTATACATAGGTCAGCTGAAAAAATAGCACATGATTTCAAAGAACTAATGATTACCTAATTGTGATAAAGCTTGTTCCAAATAGTCTCTGTTCTCTGGGTTCACATATTAATTCTACTGAATAAACATCATTATTATAGCCAGACAGTTCTAATTATATGCCCACATGCACAGAACACTACATTAGTTTCAAAACAGTAAAACACAAGATATTTTCTTCTTGTACTTGCCTTGTGTCTGCATTTAAGTACAACTCCATAGGCTCCTGTAAATAAAAGAAATAAACAGTTAGGACCAATATACAAACTACAGCTCTTGTAGAAGTTGAAGTTCTATTATATTTACATTGATTATCAATATATGTCATAATGACTGTTAAAATGACAATATTCTACAGTGATAATGCAATGAGCTACATAAAAAGACAGCATGGATATTTATTTTACACACACACACACACACACACACACACACACACACACTTATAAACCAAGGGTAAAAACAACCTATTTCTTCAACATTTATTTTTAAAGGTTTCTCTTTTTAAAGAAAATTTCACTTGAGACATTTTTACATTTAGGCTTAAAATATCCTGGAGACAAGATCTGGGCATAAGAACTTTAGGAGTAAATGAAAATTAGTTCAAGAAGCTCTAGGAAGCTAAAAATTTAAGAGCTAATGATTTACCAATAGAAAGCTCAAGCATGGAGCCTACCACATATGTCCTCTGTCCTAGAAGGCATTTAAATCCTCTTATAGCATCAGTCCCCAACCTTTCTGGCACCAGGGGGGTGGGGGCGTGCAGAAGGCAGAGCTCAGGCGAGCTTCACTAGCAGCTGGGTGGGGACCCCTGTCTTATAGGATATTGAAATCTCTTTCCTGATTGGCACAACCATATAGGTGTCAGCATTCCGGTTAATAACTAGTAGACTTTGATACATTTTTTCCATAAATAAAGACTCAGTTTAAGGGCACAGGCCACAAACAGTCCAAGAATCTCTGGCTATTTATAACCATGTACTCCCACTGTGTTTGGTATATTTTGATGAGATTTGTCACTATCTTCTGGGCTATTTATGTAATTATCTAGCCAATAAACTACTTCATTACAGAGCTGACAGCAAGGAAACTGAGGTTAAAGTTATATTGTGAAAATCTAATCAGGGGAATCAAAAGGTAATGTATGATAACTGAGGTTTGTAGAAATATCAAGAACACTGATATGAACAGACAGGGAAAGCCTCATGCATCTATGAGAAGGAGACTTTACGGACATGAAATTAAAAAATATGTCTCCAACAGAGTCTAGGGAACCAGAACAAGTCTACCCAATTTTGGTGGAGATGGATGAACCTTAATATCACAGGAGGGGACCAGCCATTACAGCCATCCAACTTAGCTCTACAATTACAGGCAATCATCTAATCCTCATGCCAGTTTTTCTGTGGGGTGAAAGTGCACTGTCTAGGCTACAGGAATGTAGAGTTTGCTTGATAGTTTTTAGTTTCCTTAATATATATATATTTCTTAGTCAAAAAGCATTTGAGGCACTTTACAAAGAAAAAACATATAGCAATGATGGTTCTGGCTACAAGTTAAACTGACATATTCTGATTTATATAACAGCCTGGTAGTGTTTTTGTAGTTAATGAGAGCCGATTCCGAAGAAGATAATCACTTATATATATGTATACAAAGAAAAACAAGGTTATGATCCAGAAAACTTAGACCCAGAATCTGGAACATTCCAACCCCATTATATCCTATGAGGAGACCTCTGGTCACTAACTTTATTGTATAAGCCTCTAATTGTAATACTTTTGAAAAAAAAAAGTCAACAAAAAAAACAAAAAAGCAGGTATTATAAAACAGATAGTAGATAAGATATGGAAAATAAATTTTATTTACATAATTAGTATCAATCAAGAAAAGGGAATTGACTGGTGAAGGAAGATGGATCTGTTCTTTTAATATGGTTTCAGCTTCAGACCTTGGAGCTAACACCAAATGATTATGCTGTACTTTAAATGTTTTTAATTAGTTGAAGGACTTGACAACTTAATATTAAAATCTAAAATAGCTTTGCTGTTCACATTGGTAAATTTTTAAAACTTCTTTTGAAATTCAACATCTTTATGAAAATTTTTAAATACAAATTTTGTAACATTTGCTTTAAAGATATAAATGCTAAGAAACTATAATTATAGTTGCTTATCCCATTAACAGAATCATTTATCAAAATCTCCATAAATTTATCTTTAAGTCAAGAGCAAAAATTACTAAGAAGAAAAAAATCAGGAAGACTTATGAAAAATGATTTACCATATTTCATCTAATCAATGATGTCACTGATTATAGGCATAATTTTATGTACTACTAAGAAAGAAAAAAATGCTGCCAATTAAACCATGACATGCTACTGATTGTAACACACATCTGATTTCAAATATATTACAATATGCTTCCAAATTTACAAAATGTGGTTTGTCATTCCCAAAGACAAATAAGTTATTTATTCATTTATTTACCATGTAGTAAGTAAAATTTAACTTATATAAAAAATTCTTAAGCTATTCACAATAAACCTAGTTGATAAAAAGTAAAATGTAACCAAAAACTTATTGGCTAAAGAAACCACAATTCCTAATGAGAAGAATGAAATAAAGGCAGCTTTAAGAAATCCCTGATTTATTAAACTTTAAGGGGTTTTAAAATGTTATTAACTTTTGAGCCCTGACTTGGTGTAGCTCAGTGGATTGAGCACCAACCTGTGAACCAAAGGGTCACTGATTCGATTCCCAGTCAGGGCACATGCCTGGATTGTGGGCCAGGTCCCCAGTAGGGGATGAGCAAGAGGCAACCACACATTGATTTTTCTTTCCCTTCCTTCCCCTCTAAAAATAAATAAAATAAATAAAATCTGTAAAAATAAAAAAGTAAAGTGTTATTAACTTTCAGTGGGAGAATAAGACCCAAAAGTTGAGAGTAATTTTATTTTTAATATCTTACTTTTATGGCCCATATCTAAGTTGATACAGATTAAATTAAGAGGACCTGAATTATTAATTTTTTCAGTGGTAGGTATAATTGCACATTGCTCAAAAACTCAAGGAATGTAAACTTACCTTCACCTACAACCCCAAGGATCTCAAATTTATTCATCACATTACCAATGTTAGGAATCTTCATGAAGACAAACTCCTCTTTTGATGCGAGCCACAAAACATGGCATCAAAAAAGAACTTCTGAGAAAGTTGTGCAGTAAGTAGAACACAACAGAGCTGAAGGAATAAATTCTCACAAGTTGGCAGGAACTTTCACATATTTCTTCTAATGTGATGTAGTAAATGATTCCCTGAAAGAACAAACAATTAAAAGCTATAGTTTTATATTTCAGTAACCTGATAACCTGTCCTAGCCTATTTTTTTGTACAGTTCTTTTCAAACCAGGTTAATGTTTTATACCAAAAAAGAAGAAATAATCAATAATCTGAGGAGAGAAGAACCCAAACTGGAACACAAATGAACAAATGAACTTAACTGTATTTGAAATGAGTAACAACCACACGAAGGGGGCCAAGGGAAAAAGAATTAACCTTAGGCAACTCTTGAAATGATATTTTGACAACATACTCTGCTCGAACTAAAGACCAAAATAAATACAAACACATATTATACTCTACTTAGATATTTGTTTTTACATGGATATGAAACTTCTTTATTGTAGAATTGAGCAAATAAATAAATATATTGTGGATAATAGGGATTTAGTCCCTTATTCTATTGTCCCTTATTCTATTGTCAGATAAAAAGAAGTTATGAGTATGAAAAGGGGGAAGGCTTAGAATTAGAGCTACCCATAAAAGCTCAGTTCTTAATATACAGAGGTGTAGAAATAAGTATAAATGTATGTGTAAATGTACATATACACATATATTCCTTAGCTCTGTCTGATGAGAGGGCCTGGAAGCAATGACACTCCAGTAGCCATGAGCACAGCTAATGCACCAATAAAAGGAACCAGAGTTCCTTGAAGAAATGACTGATTTCCAGGCCAGGGCAGAAAATAAGGAAATGCTTAAAGAATAATGGAGATGCATGTCTAAAGGACACAGGAGTCAGCTTGAAGAGACATCCACTGGTCAAATGAGGAACATTTGAGCAACAAAATAAAAATAATAGCACATTATAATCCAAAGAATAAATAAAAATGCACCAGTCCTTACTGACATATATGAGTGGGGGAGAAGAAAAACCTCTTTCTTACAGTATAATTCCAAATAATGAATGTACTGAAGAAATTAGAAAAATTGCCATTTGGCAACCACCCTGGCTATAATTATTTCAGGCAAGTATCATCAATACATAATAAAACCAGTGGTTCAAGATTGATGGAAAACAGAATATTACCTAGCCTCAAAGTTGCTGTCTATAAGATACCTATCAATTACAAAGGAAAAAATAGTAATTTCATAATGAAGAATCCTACCAGTACTACACCTTAAGTGAATAAAGTTAACATCGTTAGTAATAGGACAAGTCAACACCATATGCCTCATGACAGGATGCATCACAGCATACTCCTGTGGCATTCCTTCTAAAAAGGTAAAACCTGAATCTAACCAGAGACAGCAGCAGACAACTAAGGACATTCTATTAAATAACTCACCTGCAGTCTTTAAAAATCTCTATGTCATGAAAGACAAAAAACAACTATCTGTTACAGGAAAGAAAATTACGAGTTGTGAAAACTAAATTTAATGCATGATCCTGGATTGGATTCTAGACAAAAAAAAACAAAACCCTGCTCCTGGCTGGCATAGCTCAGTGGATTGGGGCTGCGAACCAAAGTGCTGCAGGTTCAATTCCCAGTCAGGGCACATCCCTGGGTTGCAGGCCACGGCCCCCAGCAACCGCACATTGATGTTTCTCTCTCTCTCTCTCCCCCTCCCTTCCCTCTCTAAAAATAAACAAATAAAATCTTTAAAAAAAAGAAAGAAAAAAAACTGCTATAAAGGGTAACTGAAAATTTAAATGTCTACAGATTATATAGTAATATTGTATCAATCATAATTTTACTTTGATAGTATAGTGGTTATGTAAAACAATTATATTTTAAGAAATGATGAAATAGGTGAAGGTGGTCAAAAGGTACAAATTCTAGTTAAACAATAAAATTGCTAATAGAGTAATTCTTAAAAGTTTTCATCACAGGAAAAAACTGTACTATGTGTGGTGATGGATATTAACTAGACTTACTGTGGTGATCATTTAACAATATATGCAAATATTAAATCATTATGTTGTATCTCTGAAAGTAATATGATATTATGTCAATTATATTTTGATAAATAATAAGGCACAGACCAAAATCTCTAAAATAAGGCAGTCTAACAAAAAGATTAGCCAAAAAAAAAAAAAAAAGAGGAAAGAACACCAAAGTTTTTAGAGATAAAGTTTGCAACTTAAAGCATTCAGAAAAATATTTTGTAAAGAGAAAAAATGATAAAGTAAATATAGTAAAATGTTAATTTAACAGTTGGGGAACCTGGGTTAAGGGTCCAGGAAACAGAAAGTTCTTTGTATTATCTTTGTAATTTTTCTCTAAATCTGAAATTATTTCAAAATAAGTTCTTTTGTTTCAAAAAACCCTATCCTACCATTTAAAAGACTAACAGCTGTATCAACACAAAATATTGGTTAAAAGATAAATCAAAACCAGTAAAGAAATGTTTTTTGCTGCCTATGAAATTTGAAACTTTAAAAAAATATGAGTACCTCATATGGTATTAACATGAAAAGTGAGCCTTTTTGTATATTGTGCCTTTTGTACTGATAGCAGGAATGTAAACTGAGGCAAGCTTTCTAAGGAGTAATACGTTCATAATTAAATGCTTTTAAAACATTCCTATCCTGATAAAAGTATCTGATAAAAACCTATAACATCACTCTTAAATGTGAAATATTAGACCCAGCCCCTTTAAAAATTAAGAACTTGACAAGATGTCCTACAATTAATACTTACTAGCATTATTATTAAACATTATCCTGGTGGGTTCTAGCCAGCTCAGTAATATAAGAAAAAAAAATAAATGAATGAAATATACAGGATTGGAAAGAGAGGAACAAAATAGGGTTTACAGATATTATGGTCTACATGGAAAATTCAGAGGAATTTACAAATTATTAAAATTGTAAGTGTTGGCAAGGTAGCTGAATATAAATTTAATATACAAATATCAACTCCATTTGTAGACAGCAACAAGAAACAAAATATAATTTTTCAAAAAATCACATTTACATCAAAAAAGTTGCTTAGGATTTAACATAACAAAAGATATTCAAGGCCTCTATTGAAATTTATATCTATGAAGATGACCTAAATAAATGGAGTCATCCCACTTGTAAGTTAGGAAGATTCAATATTCTCCATATTAACCAATGGAGAGGCAATCCCAATCAAAATCCTAGGGTCTTCTGAGGAATTAAGAAAAGTTCATTCTAAAATATACATGGGAGAGCAGAGTTCCAAGCAGAGTCCACACATCCCTGATAAGAAAAGTAAGAAGGCTCAGGCTTGAGCATAGGATCTGGCAGTATGCCCTATCAAATATATTGAAGGTCAGAACTGAGCTCCAGAAATTTAGACACGATACTCCTGGCACAGATATAGACAAATTAACGAGTGGAACTGATGTGAGAGCCCAGAAGCAGACCATACTTACTTAAATATCCCTACAGCTCCATTCTCACTTCCCCCTCAATTCAGTCTGTTCTCTACACAGAAGTCTTTAGGATAAGTAAGATCATGCCACTTCTCTACTCAAAACTCTCCAATGACCTCCCTTATCATTAAGAGTTAAAGTCCAACTCCACAAAAGCCACAGGGCCTTGACCTACCCTCCTCTGACATCATCTCTGACTAGTCTCTCTTCTTGGCTAGCTTCACTCCAGCCACATTAAACTCGTTTCAGTTCAATATGTAACAAGAAAGACACAGTTGTACCTAATCCTAAATATTTGTCACTCTAACATTTACTTTAGGTCAGATTCTTATCATCTGATGTTTCATTCAACATTTACAAAAAATGTTTTTGAAAAAAGGCAAGAGAAAGCAGACACTATATTTTAGAAAACTTTAATAGAATCACAAATTTTAAAGGATGACTGTTAAATTTAGAGAAAATGATGTCACAATTTCAGAAGAAATTAATAAATATTCAATTCATTCACTAAATAAATAATTACTGAATGCCTAACATGTTTCAGGAAGTGGATAAATAATACAAAAGACAGTGGTGAACAAAATAGGCAAAGTCCTTGCCTTCATGGAGCTTTACATTTTGCTGAGAGAAGAAAAAAATACAACATTATTATTAGATACTGATACATGTTATAAAGGACACAAAAAGGAATGATTACTCAGAGAGGCCTCTCTGAAAAGGTGACATCTGAGGTGAAATATCAATAACAAGGAGCCAGCCATATGAAAATCTAAGTTAGTCACACTTCAGGTAAAAGATGCTCAGAACGTTTGAGAATGAATCATCTGGGAAACATGTAAATATTCCATTCTCTTGCCAATAATTGTATATGACTCATTTCAACGGAAACTAGAGATAAAAATTTTATTCCCTCTAAGGAGACACAGAACCCGAAAAGTTCTGTATGTAAGTCTATGTAAAGAACATTTGGTCCCATTTACTTATTCTCTGTGGAAATCAAAACTACTGAGTAATGCAAACTGGGAACCAGAATTTAAATGTGTGAGTAAATACATAACATGGGTGTCAAGAACAGTCTTTTAATTACCAGTATTCACACTGGGGGGTGGTACCAAATGGAATTTAACTATGTAAACAAAAAGGGGGCAACTTAGTAGAGCAGACAAATTCAGTGACCAAAAGTCATGTCCCAGGCCTACAGCTTCCTTAGCAAAATTTAATCTTAACATTCAATGAGCCACGTCCATTGTCTCCATGCATCTAGGATAACACACCTTTGAAGTATCAGAGTAATTTCCTCTTCCAGACCCCCGGAAGGAACAACAGCTGGCACCAGAGCACAAGACCACAAGACTCCTCGCTGTTACACATGGTTTACTGTACACGTTAGCTTTCCTGTCCCCACCAATGTAAATGAAATGTGTTTCTCCATTTTGCTTTCTATCCAATCCCAGAGATTTCCCCACTTTGCCTTCTCTTGTCTCTTTAATGTACCAGCAATGGGTTTTATGTAACCTTCCTTATGTTTTCCCCTTTGATTCTAAATGTAAAAAATGAGCTGCAAATCTGCCCTTCTCTGCAGCATTTTCTCAATCCCTTTGAGATCTTGCTTCTGGGCACGTCCTCGAATTTTGGCTCAAATAAATTCATATAAAATTTTTCTATAGATTTGAACATTCTTAAGTCAACAACTACAATTTCATGTGAATAACACTAATAAATTTTTAAGGCATAAACACTCAGATATTTTAACTTCAAATAACTCAATAACATGGATGAAATGTCTCTTTGAGGGTAAATACAAATTCTGGAGCAAATACTTTTTAAAAACAGCCCCCAAGCCCCAAAGACTTAACAAGATTGTGAAGAATTACATGGCTAAAATCAAGGCAAAAGAATAGAACCCAGAGATGTAATACAAATCACCCAAAATGGTTTTAGCCCTCTGGCACCTGAATATCCAGGGAAAAAGGCAGGGGAGAAAACAGCTTACTCTTGATATCCTTACAAATCCAAGGACAAAAAAGTCAAAGGCAAGAGTGTTTCAAAAAAAAAAAGTTTGATAAGCCACCACTCACTTGAAGCAGAAACCCTAAAAAGCTACACTCCCAGGATAGAAGAAACCAGAAAGAAATCAGCCCTTGGACAGATGTGAATTATAGCTTTATGTCACCTGGATAACCTAAATAAACCTCTAGGTATACCCTGGATTGTTGGATTCAGGTGGTCCAACATTCACACTGGTGGTGCCACCAGCAGTCTGGATGAAGCAATGGGGTAGGATAGGAGTGAGGGTGCAAAAAAAAAAAAGCAAGTCTCTGCAGAAGATAACTTCAACGTAGGCCTCACAATATTGCTACAGATAATTTCTCCTTTACATTGTGCAGTACATAATAGCCAGATATATAAGGTAATAAAATACCACAAACAAGAACCAACAGAAACTACTGAAGCAGAAAATGACCCACAAAGACTTGTAATATTAGAATTATCAGGAATAGTCAATAAAACAACTGTAAGGTTGAATTAATAAAAACCCAACAGTTAAACATTTTGACAGAAATTGAAGGTCTAAAAAGTAAAAGAACAAATTTGAAAAAATAAATTAGAATTCTAGAACTGAAAGAATAGCAAAGAAATTTGGCAGACAGTTTAAGGAGAAAAATATCAGGATATATAGATTTTAAAAACTTGACCAAATGAACATATAAGCAGTAGCAAAGAACTGCAGAATATCTTTTTTCTCCCAAGCACACACAGAATGTTTACAAAGACTGATAATGTGATAATGTGCAAGGCCATAATGCAATCCAAAGCAAATGACAAGGACTGAACTACAAGGATGTTCTCTGTCCACAGTGTGACTATGCAAAAAAAAAAAAAATCAGTCACAAAAGAAATAATTAGAAAATATTCATATGTTTGAAAATTAGTACATTCTTAAAATAAGTCAAATAAGAAATCATAAAAGGTATGTAAAAATAAAAATTTATGGGAAGAAGCTAAAGCAATGCTTGGGGTAGGTAACTGAGATCCTTTATATATGCATATATCAGAAAATATTTTTTAAAAATTAATAAGCTGAGCATAAATCTCAAGAGGTTAAAATAACAGCAAAATACATGCAAGGAAAATATAAAGATATAAATAATTAAGAGCAGAAATTCATTAAATAAAAAAGGGGTTCAGAATAGGCATCCCCAAGACATGCTACTTTGGCCTGTGGGTTATTCTGAGCTGAAGGACAATGGACACCCTGCAGGCTCACAAGAAACTTTTACCTCTCTGAAAGAATTTAAGTTGGGGCCTTGCCCATAATAAGACTTATCAATAGAAATAAATCTTTGTGACCTATCTATAGGGCAGAGCAAACTTATCATTATTGAACATCTGCTCTTCTTATAGTCCTGCAAATAACCCTCCTCTCCTCTGAAGCCCCAAGGCATTTTACCTCGTTTCTCGGCTCAGGATGCCATATATACCACATTTTACCTTTGTCTCTGAACATCTCCTGTATGTGAAGTCTTTGAGTCTCCCAGGTTGTGGGGTTCCCATATGTACATATAATTAAATTTGGATATTTTCTCTTGCTAATCTGTCTCATGTTGATTTAATTATTAGATCAGACCAAAAATAAATCCTAGAGGGGTTGAGGAAAACAACTTCCTTCCCCCCACAAACAATCAAGAGATCAAAGGAGCAAAGAATTGGATCTTAGAAATCAACTTTGGAACTAATCAAAGGAGAAAGAGTACTCAGCCCAGCCAATAGGTTGATTTCAGGCTTATGATATCCTCAGCAGAGAAATCCAGCCACTTCATGGCCTTCAGAACGGTGAGCTAATAGACATGTGCTATCTTTACCTGCTAAGCTAGTGGTAATTCACTACAAAACAGAAAACTAACACAGTATCACTGCATTTACATACAGTGATAAAACAGGCAAAGCTGAACTATATTATTTAAGGATGCATATATAAGTGGTAAATCTATAAAAAACAAACAAGTGACCGAGGAAGTGTTCTAAAAATCAGAATATTAATTACTTCCAGGGAGGAGTTGAGATTGAGAAGAGATACATAATGAGATAGGGTATATGGCAAAAAACAGCTGCAATCAATAAAAGCTACAGAAGCTGTTGAGAAGACCACTTCCCACCAGATTCCTGGCTTAAAACTCAGAGACAAGCTCAATCCAACATGGCAACTAATTTCACCTAAATATAATCCGGAGCCTCATTGTATACTCATTGTAATGCATTAGCATGTTAAACAGACACACCCCATGCCACCATGATCTGAAATGGAAAGCCCATATAAGAACACAACATGGCCAATGAATCTTCTCTGAAATATCTCCACTCCTTTTCAGGGATGATCCTGATTATTCCTCCCCTTTATTGAATACCCTACCCCAACGCCAATTGAATAACCCTCAATAAAGGAAGCAAATTCTCCTAAAGGAGGACTCCTCTGTCTGTGGAATAGCTCTTTCTCTGTCTCACCACTTCACAAATAATAAACTCACCTTCACTTTAACCTCTATGCTGGCTTGCCTTTGAATTCTTTCCTCCACGAAGCCAAGAACCCACAGTGAGTTGTGGACTCTCAGGTCCCCAGACTCCTGGAATGCCTACATCAATAACAAGGCTGCTCTGGCCAGGTGGCTCAGTTGGTTGGTTAGAGTGTCATTCCATATACCAATAGGTTGCAGGTTTGATCTCAGGGCACATGCCTAGGTTGTGGGTTCAGTCCCTGGTTGTGACATATACAAGAGGCAACTGATTGATGTTTCTCTCTCACATCAATGTTTCTCTCTCTCTCTCTCTCAAATCAATAAACATATCCTCCAGTGAGGATTAAAAAAAATAATAATAATAAGGCTTCCTGGGACCATGACAATGTTCTATTTCTTGACTTGAGTGACAGACATTAGAATGTGCATTTATATTTTATGTATCTCTATGTTGTTACATTGCACAATAAAACAAGAACTCAACAGTAATTCTGACAATGACATCATATATAAATATTTCCTTGCTCATTTTATGGAGATAAAAGATGATTTTTATCAAAGATAAACATTGACCAAAAAAG